CCACAATCACATCTACCCACTCAGTTGGTTGCACCCTATGCCATAACTGGCGACCGTAGCCCAGGTCCACGTCCTCCTCCAAGGAACCCTTTGGCAGTCTCGTAGCCTCCAAAGTAGAGGCCCTGACCGGACCAAAGGTTTTCACGTTCTTCCCAACTCTCTCCAAGTGAGACTCAGCTGTTCTGCGTTCATGGATTTAGGAGGAGGGGCTATTATACTGTAATCGATAGTTAAAAGGCGAACAATAATCATGACTTTTAAAGTATGCCCAAATCGCCAAAATCCCGGAACCGATGACTGATTGATGAGTAGAGACCCCTGAATAAAGGATGCTAACTGCTGGGGGAGGTGGTTTTATCGACATGTTTATCTTGCTTCTCGCTTTGCAGTAAATGTTTAAAGAGGGCCATGAATTAAAGTCATCTCGTATCAGTAGGACTAAGTGTGACTATGACTAAGTGATGGTGCAAGGAGAAGAGGTTGATTTTTGCATGGTTTGTTGAAAAATAAAAAACATCTATAAAAGCATTGGGGTTCCAAGGAAAAATAAATATATATAGAAAAAAGATGAAACAAGTAATGATGTTATCATTAATATGGTATGATAGTTTTACTTGATTCTATTCAAGATGTTCAGATGCTGGCTCATCAAATCTGATTTTGCTCCCTTTCCACTGGCCACCTGGTGCCAAACGTCTGACAACACAGGACTCTGAGATCCAAAATATTCCAAAATGCTACCAAAACACGAAAAGACACAGATTTTTCTCACAGCACATCACTCCAAAAAGGCCCTTACACGTTTGCAGTTTCCTTGTTTTTTCACACGTTTATATGGTCGTGTCCAGTTCTTTTCATTGTTTTCATTCATTGTTACTTTATTTTCATTGTTTCTTCAGCTTTGAGCTTGTTTCGAGAAAGAACAACATGAGATTGTTTGAGAGTTTTTGTTATTTTTGATGGTCAAAAACATTGATTAATTAACGAGAAACCATATACAACTCAGCCCACTGTCCCGAAGCCAAAGAGATAGTTTGAGAAACAAAAATAAGAGCACATTATATATTTGTCGAGGTGTTTTTCGTTTTGAATTGTTTTCTAGTGTTTTGTTGTTTGGCAGTTTCTTAGCCCCCTGCACGCTTGTTGGTATGTGATTTCTATTTTGTTCATTTGTCTTCATTTATGTTTCAATTGTTCTGTGGTTTTAAAGCTTTTTTGTCCATGCATTTCATTCGTTTGTTCTTCATCGAACAAGCAATTGCCAATCCAGACTGCTGACATGTCATACGACATCATACGACCACTTAGTTCTGCTGATCTTAGGTGGGATAGCTCTGACTGTCGGCTCTGGATCTCAGCTTGCAAATCCAAAGCTACAAATCTCAAATCCTCTCGAACATTCTCGAGCCATATGAAACTTTTAACTGGATACGTGTTTGGACCGCAGAGCCCCGACTCTAATTGTTTGTATGTATATATTGTGTTCATTCGACGAAAACAGTATGCATTGGTTTTCTTTGACATGAAGCGACACCTTGCACCCGCTCATTTTCAAGCTTACACCATGCAGCAACACTTCCACCATTCAGCAGTCCCTCCAAAGCCCTGCACCTGAGCTGGTGCTGCACCTACAAGGACGGCGCCAAGGCCTCTATAAAGAGTTACAAGGCCTTCCTTGGTTTGACATCTGGCCATGTCAGCCAGCTCGTTGAAGGCAGGACATATCAGCACAGTCGAGTTGTCATTCTGTATAAATATGATATCACGATATAATATATATATATATAACATATATAACTAATCATATATAATATATTTACAAATCAAAAATGTGTTTGGCTGCTTCGGCTAGGCTGGTAACAGTCTTCAGGATCTGATTCATAGCATGAGTGACCTGGGCACAAAGCTTCGATTCGTGCCGCTTCCTGCGTGATAAACATTAGAATCCCAGCCGCATGCTTCACGGACAGGCATCCAAATCCCACCATAAATATCACCACAAAAGTTGCCCTTATCCAGAATAGGGTTACGATTTTGGCGGATTGCACAGGTCTCTGAGATGTGAGCATGATAGTAGATATATGTGAATTCTTCGAGTTGCAAATTGTAGCTGCGGAACGTCAAAGGTCAAAGGATGTTAAAGGTCTGCCAAGACATTTCAATGTGTGACACATTGTGACACAATGTATTTCGTGGAGGCTGCAAAGCTCAGGTCGGCACACCTCTGTAGACGACAGCCCCATGGGAGCCGCCACCACTGCCCTCGGCTGAATAGGGTGCTGAAACCATGCACCACAGCAAACCCTTTACACCCTGGGCTGCCGCTGGGCCAAAGTACTGTATGTATGTATCTATGTATGTGTGTGTGTGTGCGCTGCTATTACATGCTATTACATGCTATTTCTGTATCATAAGGAGGTATGATATTGTCATGGTATCATAAAGGATCACAACTTACAGTATTCATAATTGCTTGGAAGCAGCGCTGCAAGAAAAAAGTGCACTTACTCTGCATGTCCTGGAAGGGCCCTTCGTACAGTAGGATCATGACAGGACCATGGATGCGTAGAATGCAGCATGGCTCTATCACGGATGTGGCATGATGCATGATGCATCATGAATCATCATGATACTTTGTCTCCACCAAAATGTGGCTCCAAATTCCAGTGGCCACCTGGACCTGCAAGCGGGTTTTGATGGTCGAAATCGGGTGCGTAATGATGTCCTTGGTCACTACCAATCGAATCGACAGCGAAGTGTCCCTCAAGCATCTGTGTCTGTATGAGTACAGTATATAGGAGTAGTGCAACAGAAGCAATCTGCAGGTCGCAACTGGTGTAGTAAAAGTGCTAGAAAACACACACACAGAGAAAAAAAACAAAAGAAGAAGAAGAAGAAGAAGTACTCGTTGCATGAACTATTTTAGGCAAGCATTGGGTGGCATCAGTTTCTGTCAGGGTGTGCAGTTTACAGTTTGAAGGAAAATGCGAACTAATGCGAAGTAGATTCTGCAAAAATGCCAGCAACACTGCCAGCAATGATCTGATTTGTCAAGACCTTGGCACACTGGCAGTGCTACATCTCCTTGGCCTGCTGTGTAACTCGGCAAATGTATGCAAATATCTATCCTCCAACCCACCCATCCATCCGCTCACACACCAAATTTCATGATATATGAACACCGGACATGCATACATACATACCGATCCATGATCCATAATTCACACGTGATATACGTATACTGTAGATATGCATATAAATATAGATTGTAAGTGCGCATAAAAATTTCATATCATATCGTTACAATGCTGCATATACTTATACATATACATGTGCAGTCATGTGCATGTTATATATATGTGTGTGTGTGCGCGTGTGTATGTATATGTATATGTACATGTACATGTACATAAATATATATATGTGTGTGTGTGTGTCTAATGTGAATTATATATATACATATGTTATATGATTATTATTGTGATTCATTATGTGTATGTGTATGTGTATGTGTATGATAATATGCATACATATGTGTGTATATATATGTGCAATTACGTGACATGTGTGTGTGAGCAGCAATTATACAATTACCGCACGCAGAACAAACATACAGTTGCAATACATGCAAAGATAAACATCAACAAAACACCACGTGTTCAGGGCAACCCGACTAGATCAGCCATTGCGAAGGGACCTTGTGAAGTTTTCCTACCCTGAGATAGTTGTTGGATGTGTAACAGCCTAATGCAGTCAGCAGGTGTGCCTAAAGTGCAGGGCTGGTTGGGTGGGTGTCATGCGAGCTTTGCAATCAAGCTAGCTTCTGGCAGTCCATGTCCTCTCTTGAGCCATTCTTTCTTGCCCTAAATTATAAGATTCCGAAGTCCTGGCTTGAGACATGCACACAGGAGTCATTGAATTGCTGCGGACATCTGCGGACACTATCAGAGTTTCTTGTGCAATAACAAGCCTGACTGCAAGCATTCTGGTTCTCACTGGCGTGTACACACTGCTTACGTGAGGATATTGAAAGGAGCTGACATACATATAGGGTCCAAGGCTGTACAATCTTAATGTCCGATAGGTATGGATGGATCTTAGGCATGCATGCGCCGGGCCAATGCATTCGAACACTGCCACCACTGCTAAACCAGTATTTTCTATCACTAGCTTCCAACAATTCCCAAACATCAGTAGGCACAATGCAGTAATATCCGGTACTAGTATCAATACCTACAGTAACAATGCCTCATGCCTTCAGTGTGACCACATGACACTTTTTCCACTGCTTTCATCTTGCAGCATCACGTCACGCCTTTCCAATGTTCCGCCAGTCTGGGTATGGGCAGAATGAGGTTGTATCGAAAAAGTATCAGAAAGGCGGATTTTGTTGTGCTTAATTAATTTATCTTAATTTGCCATCAGGACGTGGGATTCCTGAAGTGAGATTGAAGATCACTGCTTTGATGCAGTTTTGATGCGTCTTACCCCTGGCCCTTGGCAGAACTCTCCACAACGCACCGCGTACTCAGGCATCAAGTTGAGCCTGTCATCAGCGTGGTTCAGTTTTGCCTTCACCGTTGGTTGTCACTACCCAGTCACTAAGACTTCAGCCGTCGGAAGGGAAGAGGCCCGGTTTGGACGCATGGGCGTGCAACAGAAACAATCAGCACCCCAGCAGATCCCGGCAGCATCAAAGGTGAAATGATGTGAATTTTTCGTGCCTTCTCCAGCTGAGTGGTCTGTGGGGCCTGCGGGGTCACCCTGCTTTTCCACCTGCCACGAACAGTACTCGTTGAAAGCCAAATGACCAACATAGAGAAGTCAAGGCATTGCAAACCACGCCGGTAACCACAATGAAAGCCAAATGGGGCAAAGTGCCACACCATGCCACAAGTGCAATGACTGAACACTTTTTGCGTGCCAGTTCCGGTGTTGCGTCCAGCAGTTGGGAGCCGCGGTATTTTCACATCTTGCATCCTCTGTGTCTCAGCGCAGTCTCAGAACTCATGAGCCAACTTGGAGAAAGCAAAGGCCGCACCTGAACAAAAAACATCCTTTCCAAGATGGTCTAAGTGCATGGATTAAATATGCTATGGACTATGGGCGACGGCACATCAACAAATAAAGGACCGGATAACCCCACATGTCAACTTCTTCCAATAATGAGCAACAAATGTTGTAGCGGGACGGGCAAGCCAGGAAAGACAAAGGAGGTGGTGGAGGATCGAGAAGTAAAACAAGTTGTATGTGAAGAGTTGTGTGTGACAAAGTTGTATGTGACAGATGGTGTGTGACAAAGTGGTGTGAAAGATGGTGATGCAAAGATGGTGTGTCAAAGATGGTGTGTGAAAGATGGTGTGTGACAAAGTGGTGTGTCAAAGATGGTGGGTGACAAAGCGGTGTGTGAAAGATGGTGTGTCAAAGATGGTGTGTAAAAAAGTTGTGTGTGAAAGATGCTTTGTGAAAGATGGTGTCCGACAAAGTGGTGTGTGAAAGATGGTGTGTGACAAAGTGATGTGAAAGATGGTGTGTGAAAGACGGTGTGTGAAAGATGGTGTGTGACAAAGTAGTGTGTGAAAGATGGTGTGTGACAAAGTTGTGTGTCAAAGATGGTGTGTAAAAGATGGTGTGTCAAAGATGGTGTGTGAAAGATGGTGTGTGAAAGATGGTGTGTGACAAAGTGGTGTGTGACAAAGTGGTGTGAAAGATGGTGTGTGAAAGATGGTGTGTGAAAGTTGTGTGTGTGAAAGAGAGCGTGTGACAAAGTCGTGTGAAAGATGGTGTGTGACAAAGTGGTGTGTGAAAGATGGAGTGGCAAAACATGGTGTGTGAAAAAGTTGTGTGTGAAAGATGCTTTGTGAAAGATGGTGTCCGACAAAGTGGTGTGTGAAAGATGGTGTGTGACAAAGTGATGTGAAAGATGGTGTGTGAAAGACGGTGTGTGAAAGATGGTGTGTGTGCCACGCAAAGTGAAGATACATGTCGCCAAGTGCCACGCCTGCCACGCAAAGTGACAGTCGATGTTCCAAGTGCCACGCCTGCCACGCAAAGTGCACGTCCATGTCACCACGTGCCACGCCTGCCACGCAAAGAGCCGCGGCGTCCACGGCGTCATTTGGGAACCCGGTGCGCCACCAGAGCCGGCCCAGTGCCGTAAGTGGCACGCCTGCCACGCCTGCCCCGCAAAGTGAGCGTCGATGTCACCAAGTGTCACGCCTGCCACGCAAAGTGGACAAGTTGTGTGTGAGCAAGTTGTAAGTTGTGTGAGGACAAGATGTGTGTGAGTGAGCAAGTTGTGTGATGACAAGTTGTGTGAGGACAAGTTGTGTGTGAGCAAGTTGTGTGATGACTAATTTGTGTGAGGACAAGATGTGTGAGGACATGTGAGCAAGTTGTGTGTGGACAAGTTGTGTGTGAGCAAGGTGTGTGATGACAAGTTGTGTTTGAGCAAGTTGTGTGAGGACAAGATGTGTGAGGACAAGGTGTATGTGAGCAAGTTGTGTGCGGACAAGTTGTGAGTGAGACGACGGGAGGCGGGAGGCGGACGGACGGCGGGATACAGAACCAAAAGCAAGAACCCCACACAAAGATGTGGGGAAAAACGTAAAACAGCGTGATGTCTGCTGCCTGCCCTTCCGCACCTCCAACACACAACAAGTTAAACGCGAAATGTGCAGCAATCGCTGCCAACGCCCATGCAAAGCCTCACACCACACGTCGAGAAAAGCGGACGTGAAGAGCAAGAAACACAACAGAAAGCTGTGGCGGCAACATATGCCACAACACTTCAGCACAGCAGATACAACAGCACCTAACAGTATCAAGTCGACGGCTCATTATCTTCAAGAATTCCAGTTGGCGTCGCAATTTTCTTCCAAGATCTAATACTGAACACTCCCACTTGAACTCAGTCGCCAGTGGTTTTGTAGTGCATGATTTCGGCCACCGGATCCTCACCAGCACTGGAAAACACATGTTGGGTCATCGCTGCCATCACTGGTGTCAGTAGGCCCAAACTCCCAAACCCCACGGTTCTAATTTGACTTTTGGTTTGGGATGTGTGTCTTGAACCTGTCATTTCAGCAAACCAATCTGGTTCTCAGACCCATAGCAAGGAAAGAGGGCACAAAGCAAACCGATGAAATAATTGGAAGAGTTCTAAGGCCTTGAATGACTGTTGTACATTTTGTGGGTTACATGACTACAGTATTGGCCATGATTTGCCATGTCCTGCATCCAGTAGAAGAACAAAGGGTGATTCGCCTAGGTTTTCGATGCGTGCTGCAATAGGACAGCAGCACAAGAGCAGGCACCCACACTCGCCCGCAGAACAATGCAAAGCTCAAAAACACAGAAAACACCGGATTAAAATGGATTTATATACAGAATAATGCAGCAAATGGCAACAAATATCAAAAAATGCTCATGGTCGCATGACTCTGGGTCACACTTAGATTTCGGAAGGCTGGCAGCATAAACAACATGAGTTCTGGCGTCCAGCCACCCTGCAGCCAAAGATAATGAAAGAGTTGTTGTTTTCTTTGCATGACAAGCAGCTTTAATGTTATAGGCTGCTTCCGCCTGCTGCACTGCAAGCCGGAAGAATGGCCTTGCACAAGTTCAGGGATCCTGTGCAAAAGATCTCTCTATTCACAAGATTCTGAAGATTCTAATTCAGAACTCGTGTGCGCACTATTCTGCGTAAATGTCTCAAACAGATTCAAAAAGCCCTTGACCGACCTCTGGTCTTCGCTCATTAGCCGCAGTCCAGCATGGGCTTTGGGATTGCTATACTCGCCACATCGAAAGCTGTTGGCAGACAATCCTTAATGGCATATTGAAGGTTGTCCAGCTTCGCAGGGAAAACTGACTACAGAATCTGCGCGATGCATCCGTGCAGCTCTACGCCGAACAACGGAACTTCCCTAGCGATGAATTCCAGGGGAACCTCATGAAGTTTTTTGTCGTCCATGGTTGTTTGGTGTCTGAGTAAAATCAACGGAGCTAGAAATGTTAACAAGGCACCGCAGCAGTTCACGCCCACAGCCCAAAAATCGTAGGACATCAAGGGCGCCTCCCCGCTGATGATCGGGGCAACACAATACCTGCATCGGAGCCAGATAGTTCCAATTCTATATGTGGGATACTTGGTTCGTTCAGGAAGAGTAATTACCCAATTGGTACTTCCAAAATGGGGGAGCCCCGAGGCACTGCAATGGATGTGCAGAGGGGGAAAGAAAAAGAAAACTGACAGTTGCTATGGTAGCAAAGCCAGGAGTAAGAGGCAGAAGGCCAACCAGATAACACGACGTTTAACGAGGTGAAGCTGGCTGCCCTGCCAAAAAAAGACCCGAGCCAAGGTGGAGGGGTTAACTGTTCGAAAGCCATTGTGACGTTTTGTACGGTCCCCACCGCACGGGCAAGCCCGTGCGTGATCTCCAAAGCGGTCCGCGATCCCGTTGCACAAGTGGCAATAGATGGCAATAGCCATCAGAGCTTGCAACAGGAATACGGAGCCGCAAACGGAGGGCTAACACATCACTTGCGCCTCCACTTTTACATCACTTGCGCCTCCACATCACTTACGCCTCCGTGCATCACTTACGCCTCAAGAGCTAATCACCTGCGCCTCCAATGACCTCCTTCCCATGACATCTGAGGGGAGTCTTCTTTTCTTGCCAAAACAGAGCATGCTCAAAGACACATAGACCCAAATAAACGATGATGCTCATTAAAAAACAAAAGAATAGTAGGTAGCAAGGGGAACCGGTTAAAAAGAAAAGCGGGTGGGGGGGTGCAGGGGGGAGGGCGCAGCGCCTCCCCCCGCAATGCGTACCAAGAAAGAAGCGCAGAGGCACAAGTATCGATAGATATCAACAAAGATAAGATGAACCCACATAAACGATGCATCTGAAACACCAAACATGGAAGTCGCGCTGCAAGCATAGATCAAAGTTGTCGCTCATGAGCCGCTAAGAAAAAAACACATGGAAACCAAAGAATTAGAAGACGCGTCAAAGCCATACTTGGAGGCCACCAAGACGCCAAACATGGACGCCAATGAACAGGCAAACCTGCAAGCCGTCGCAATCGCACAAGCCACATAGAAGCCACACATATAGAAGCAACTCACAAGCCACACTTAGAAGGCAAATAGCTGCCAGATATTAAAGCCATCGAACAGGCAAACTTTGAAGCCATCACACGTGGACGACGATCGTGACAGCCAGATAGAAGCCATCGACCTAGACGCCACCGGGGGGACGGCAACTATCAAGACCACATGGTCGCCGCAGATTTTGAAAGCGACTTAGAAGCCACGATTTGAAGCCACATTAGGAACCGCAGATTTGGAACCCACTGGGACGCCACAGTTAGAGGCCATGTTGAGAGCCGCAGATTTGGGAGGCACTTAGCAGCCACAGCGCAAAAAGGTCACATTGGAAGCCGTAAATTTCAAAGACACTTAAAAGCCACACTCCGGAGCCTTCCACAATGCCATGATCTAAAAATCTAACTCTTTATTTAAATTTCCACACTGCCATCATCTAAAATCTAACTCTTTATTTAAACTTCCCCCCCCTTGCCTTCCACAATGCCATCATCTAAAATCTAACTCGTTATTTAAACTTACCCCCCACTTGCCTTCCACAATTCCATCATCTAAAATCTACCTCTTTATTTAAACTTTACCCCCTTGCCTTCCACAATGCCATGATCTAAAAATCTAACTCTTCATTTATATAAACTTCCCCCCCCTTGCCTTCCACACTGCCATGATCTAAAATCTAACTCTTTATTTTAACTTTCCCCCCCTTGCCTTCCACAATGCCATCATCTAAAATCTAACTCTTTATTTAAACTTCCCCCCCTTGCCTTCCACAATGCCATCATCTAGTTGTTGTTGTCGTTGTCGTTGTCGTTGTCGTTGTCGCTGTCGCTGTCGCTGTCGCTGTCGCTGTCGCTGTCGCTGTCGCTGTCGTTGTTGTTGTTGTTGTTGTTGTTGTTGTTGTTGTTGTTGTTGTTCATGTTGGCGTTGATGTTGATGTGAAAGTTGATGATGTTGTTGTGGTTGTTAATGTTTTTGTGTTGTCGATGTTGAGACTGCTGTTGATTTTGCTCTTGTTGTTTGTTGTGCATGTTGTCGATGTAAGTAAAGAGGCGTCGGGAGCGAGTATGTTTCCGGCGTTGAAAGCGAGTTGCTTTTCGGCGTCGGGAGCGGGTGTCCGACCTATTAGAAGCCGCAGTTTTGGAAGCCACTTAAGCCACGATCGCAGGGCTCCTTGGGAGACGCAGCTTTAGAAGCCGCACTTAGAAGCAACAATTAGAAATTGGTAGCCACACTCCGGAGGCATATTAGACGCCGCAGACGCCGCAGATTTAGAAGCCACTTAGAAGCCACAGTCGGAGGGCACATCGGGAGCCGCAGCTTTCACTTAGAAGCCACGCTTAGAAACCACCTTAGAAGCCACAGATTTAGAAGCCACTTCGACGCCACAATTCGAAGCCACTAGAAGCCACTGTAGAAGGCCATATTGAAGGCCGCAGACTTAGAACCTACATGGAAACCATAATTAGAAGCTACCTTGGAAGCCGCCACTAAGAAGCCACCCTCCAGAGCCGCAGATTTAGAAGCCACTTAGAAGCCATGATCTGAGGGCTCAGTAGAAGCCGCAGCTTTAGAAGCCGCACTTAGAAGCCACATTTAGAAGACACTTAGAAGCCACACTCCGAAGCCATATTGGAAGCCGCAGATTTAGAAGCCACTTAGAAGCCACACTCCGAAGCCATATTGGAAGCCGCAGGTTTAGAAGACACTTCGACAGCGCTGTTAGAGATCACTATAGCCGGCCAAGTTAGTAGCCGCGTATTGAGCAACCACTAATAGAAGCCACATTGCAAGCCGCATATTTATAGAAGCCATTTACCCGTTACAATGAGAAGAAGACACTTAGAAGCCACGCATGGAAGCCACAGAGTGAGTGAACTTTCGCACCCTCGCACCTGGAAGGCAACAATCCTAAGTACATAGAAGCCACGTACATAGAAGCCATTAGGAACTACATCCGAGGCACAAGCGAGGAAAAACCCGAGGCACAAGCGAGGAAAAACCCGAGGCACAAGCGATGTGCCGACCCAAACGGAGCAGTACCCGAAAAAAGGCAGGGTCCAAGTCAAGGCCAAGGGCCGGAGATGGGCGGGCCGACAGCCATGCCCCCGCTGCAGGTGGGCTCGGCCACTGGCGTCCTCTGCAGTCACCATCAGCTGCGCCAGTTGCGCTTTGTCTAAAACAGCTGAGAGGGCTTGCTGGCGATGGGCTTGGTCGCCACGGAAGCGATCCGCTTCCAGGACAACTGCATTGTAGGCTGCAGCAGTCGCAGAGGAAGTTGGCCAGTCCGGGTTGTACCGCCCATCTAAACCTCGACATGCTTCTGGCGTGGTAGCCACACAAGGTAAGCAGCAGTAGCATGAACGGCGCATTGTCGAAGGCCAAGCCCCCCGTGCTTAACGCCCAAAGTCGCTTGGTGCCAGATCCGGTCTGAAACTGGGAAGCAGCCAATGGATTCGAGGCAGGCGCGTACTTTTCCATCGAAGGCCACCAGTGCTGCACTGTGGAGCCCAGCGGGGGTGGTGCGCATGTTGTGGACAAGCTTCCAATTATATAAACGTGAAAGTCTAAAATACCTGAGCACAAAAAGAAACAAAAGATCATATTAAGGAGTTCTGGAGTTTGCAGATCATATGTACATCATGCGTACAAATCACCCCAAATCACGGCCTGTCCAAATTCTTGAACGACATCGATTTGCTTGTGTCCAAACCAGTACCGTCTTCAAAGTACACTCTTCCAGCATCCATGAGCTGTTGTCCTCCGCAATTGACACTCACTAAGAAGGATTTTGAACATAATATGGGCCTCAATGGTCCCATATGAGCAAACTACGAACGCTCAGGATGAGAGGAGAAGGTCAAACAATCACAATAAATAAAAAAATAATAATCCTGTCACATCTGAAGGCTGAAACTTGTTTTCTGGACAAACACCGTTCAGGAGATTTTGATTATATTAGTATATCGGCATTACTCTCATTTGCCCACTCACATGCCCTAGGAGAGATAACAAAAAGATACCAAAAGGCCAATTTGGACAAAGACGAAGCAAGCCCTGAATTCATTTTTCCATGCTTCTGTCTTCGATCTGGAGGTCAAAGCAAACCCTTTGCAAGCACCACATCTCTGCAAAGGTATGTCTCACTACGTCAACGACATGCAGTATTGAGCTTCTCAATATCAATGGCAGCAGCATTGGTTTGGACATATTGGGATCTCTTCCTGGCTAGTTCTAGCAAGAGTTTGTAAGAGTATGTAAGAGCATCTCGTCACTAAGTCATCACCACGGTCAGCACCTGTGTGGGTTTGTAATTAGCATTTGTAGCTACATGCCCATGGGAAGGCGGCAACAGCAGTCCTCTTTCTCTCGCTGGATTCACGTCAGGATAAGAGTTGATATTTTCAATATCCTTAGCGAAAGGGTCAAGATGGCGAAGCAACCGATCGATTTCCGTCTGAGCAGCTTACAGCATACAGTCCAAGCCGACAAGGGGGTTTCCCAGTCAAGAGGCATAGTATGGCCGCATGTTGTACCAGTAGTTCATATCTCCTTAGCGCTGACACTTGGGACACAATCACAAAATGGCTGTGCCAAAATGCGCAGAAAATACCACAATAAACAGTAAGCAATCAATAAGCGTCAACATGATTCAACATGTATCAAACTAATTCCAAACATGTCCAAGCCAAGCGGCCAAGAATAGCTGCAAGCACCGTTGCGGCGAAAAACCTCACCGTATCTGAGAGCATAAGATAGCATAAGATAGCGTAAGGGCGTGCAGGTGCGGACGGCAACGCTAGAGGCAAGGCTGAGACTGAAGACGAAGCCCCAACATCTCCCAAGCGGTTCCTCTCGGAATGCTCCTAAAAGTCTCCTAGTTGCCCTAGTTATTCAAGTTCAGAACATGTCAGAACGGAATTTCCCGGGTTGTTTGACAAGGCGCGCAAGAGCCGCAAAAGTGAACCATGAAGGGTCTTGCTCACGAATTTGATTCCTGCACAATCTGCACAGTGCACACTCAAAATCTTTTCGGCGGTCTTTGCCAAAGATGTTCAGCACTGCTGTTCAGCACTGCTGTGGCAGCGGATTGTTCACGGTTCATCACGGTTCCAGGCCGCTGCATTCCGCTGCCCGTAGCTCAGTGGCAGCTCAGTGCTTTTTTTTGGGGGGGTTGTCTTGCTGATCTCAACACTCAGTCTTGCTGCATGACCGGTGTACTTGTTCTCAAGGTGGAACATGTAAACGAACAAGCAGGCATACGGCATACAAGAATTGCAAGCGCGCACGCATAGAAAAGAAATAGAACCGAACTACAACAATGGTAGCTTGCGTGAATGAATGAACAAGTGAAACAAAGGAACAAAGGATAACAAGGACCAAGGACTAAGTAAGTGCAAGTCAAAATGAATGAAGATGTTCACACAGAAACACAGCACCAAAATATAACAAATCCATACAAATCCTGAACGACCAGCTGCCAGGTCCTGCGTGCGAAGAACGCTGCAATGCCTGTCAGCGCCAGTCCAGCCGCAACCGATGACCACGCTGCTGAGGGGCTCCAATAGTGTAGCTGGAAGGACCTGACAGGACTTCGATGGACACTTCGATGGACTTCCTGGATGCTTTTCGAAAAGCTTCGGAAGTTCCTGGAGAAATTCGGAGAAACCAATGGATCCAATGGTCTCAGTATGTCTCAGTCTATTTCCTCAAGGCATCTCAAGGCATCTCAAGGCATCTCAAGGCATCTCAAGGCATCTCAAGGCATCTCAAGGCATCTCAAGGCATCTCAAGGCATCTCAAGGCATCTCAAGGCACCAAAAATGCTGCAGGATTCACCGAGCCGAATATGCCGCCAAGAAGCAGGGCAGCAAAAATGCCTTGGAGCAGAGAACCATTTTGAAAAATGAGGAGAATCTTTTTTTAAGCTCTCTCAGGAGCTACAGTAGTACAGCTCAAGCTCTGTGAGTGCCAATCCTGTTTGCGCCAAGCAGCTGCAAAACAGAACCCAAGGAGTCAGCAAGCTCACAAAGATGGCAACAAGGTTCAGCCGCTTTCCTTGGTGTCATTTGGCTGCCGGCGCGACATGTCCGACATCAAACATATCAAGCACTTGATAGTCACTTGATAAAAACGTGGCAGCAAAATTGTTTGAAGCACTTCCCTTGCTGTACAGGAGCCACTTGGATTGGACCATCTGCCTACCTGCCTGCCTGCTTGCCTGGCAAGTGCTATAAACAGTGCATATCTGCGTGTATATGACAGGATGCCCATAGATCTGCATATTGTCCCTATTCTGGTTCCAAAATGACGACCGGCTGTGCCAGAACCGGCATGTCGATTTGCATGTTCATGGTGCCTCCGCAAGGTTATTAATTAACATGTTTCCCGCGGTTGGAGGAGAAAAAACAACTTCTCCAAAACGCGGGTCAAAGCGTGCGCGCATGTGTGCAGCGTGCATGCACAGCGTGCTATGCGTGCTGTAGATCATGTAGGATGTCATGACATGTCAAAGCGCATCCAGGGATCGCTTGCCCGGCGTGAAGCTGCTGAAGCTCTGATCTTTCTGGAAGCCACCCTCGACAGCTCCATACGCCGGATCCTTGTGCAAAGCATTGCAAATAATACTCAAACTATGGGCCTCATGGCCTTCAGATTCAACTGACCCCAAACCTCTTGCTTGCTATCACAAGCAGGCGGAAGATCCTCAACATTGACTTAACATTGACTTAACATCCTGAATCTCAGCTTGTGTATTATTTGTTTGACTATGTTTGACTCTCTGACTTCTGACACAGTCCAGGTAGAGAACCCTCTTGGGTTCGCAATTTCAAGGCCTTTTTCGCTTCATATGCTGCCACCAAGCCACCATGGTCGGCAACTTCATTCGTGGCCGGCTTGAGCCGGAAGCTATGCCCAAAAACGTGCAAAGACTCACCCAAGATCTTTTTTGTCTGCCGGTCATGGCCAGCCCATCTCAAACGAATGTCTATCTCATTGAAGAACAACTATATGGTGTAAATATATATATTAATATATATATGTGTGTGTGTCACTCTATAACATTCTAGATATAGTCTATATGGGAATAAACATCAGAATGTGTCATTCTCGCCAGCATGAAAGCGATGAAAGCGCCGGAAAGCGCCACCACAAAATGAGCAGTAGCTGGTGACCCTTCCAAATATTGCCAATTCATCTCAAAAACTTCAGCAGGGGCATCACAGATGCACTTTAAAATATTGCAATCTAAAACCTCACGAAGTGGAAGGGATGGGACGGATGGGAAGATAAGGGGCAAAAAGGATCAAAAAGGATCATTTTGTCATGTCTTGTCCAAAAATCGAGCAGCACCAATTCTGGGGGAAGCAAGGAAGCAGCAAGCCGCCTTGCCCAGCGACTGGCCTCTCAACCACCACCTCACACGATGCAAGTTGCAATCGGCTCATGAATGATTCATGATTTTCAGTCGTTTTCACCTTAGCAACTTGTTCAGCAACAAATATCCGGAACTCATCCCCACAGCTGCAACTGCATCTGGCACATCTCTCCAAAATCTGAGGTCACTCAAGATGTCCTCCCAGAAGCATGGCGCCACTAACACTAGCCAGCCTTGTTGATCAAGGCTCCATTGAGTATTCGAACTGCTGTCTTTGCCTTGCTGGACCCGCGGATATTGTGCTGCAGTATCTTGTTGGTGCAGAATTTGTTACCCGTAATTACTGTTTCTACCTTTGCATCATAAATGCTTACATATGGCACATGTTTATTTAATATTTTATACAATGTGTATATAATTATAAATATAGTATGCATGTAATTGTATGTATATGTATGTGTATATGCGTATATGCGTATATGCGTATCTGTGTATCTGTGTATCTGTGTATCTGTGTATGTGTGTATGTGTGTCTGTGTGTCTGTGTGTCTGTGTGTATGTATGTATGTATGCATGCATGCATGGATGCATGGATGCATGGATGCATGAATGCATGGATGCATGGATGTATCTATGTATCTATCTATCTATCTATCTATGTATGTCTGTCTGTATGTCTGTATGTCTGTATGTCTATGTATGTATGTATGTATGTATGTATGTATGTATGTATGTATGTATGTATGTATGTATGTATGTATGTATGTATGTATGTATGTATGTATGTATGTATGTATGTATGTATTTATATCTATGTATGTATGTACGTATGTATGTACGTATGTAAGTACGTATGTATGTACGTATGATTACGTATGATTACGTATGTATGTACGTATGCACGTATGCACGTATGCACGTATGCACGCATGCACGTATGCACGTATGCACGTGTGCACGTATGCACGTATGCAGGTATGTACGTGTATGTACGTGTATGTACGTATGTACGTATGTACGTATGCAGGTATGCAGGTATGCAGGTATGCAGGTATGTACGTATGTATGTATGTACGTATGTATGTATGTATGTACGTGTATGTACTATGTACGTATGTACGTATGCACGTATGCAGGTATGTATGATGTACGTGCATACACGTATATGTACGTAAGTACGTATATGTACGCATGTACGTATGTACGTATGGACGTATGGACGTATGGACGTATGTACGTATGTCCGTACGCACGTACGTACGTACGTACGTACGTACGTACGTACGTATGTATGTACGTGTTTCTTCTTGCTTCTGTGTGTGTGTGAGTGTGCGTGTGGATCCTTCTGAGTCTCTCTCCCAGTCTCTTCATATGGCTTTCCAATTTTCAATCATTTGCTTAACATATCTCAGATCTCTCTTGCCCAATTATCTATTGTTTCATCTGCGAATACCGATATTGAAAGTGGAAAAGCTGTTCCCAGCTGCTTTCTTCATCCCAGAAAAAATCGTTCCGGATTACATGTAGATGTGATAATTATATTATATTATATTTATATTCATTTATCATTTATTTATCTATATGCACCGTTGATGAAGAGTCGCAAGTTTTGGCTACTGTGTTGCCCGAAAGCGCCCGCTTTTGGCATGAAGAGGCCAACATCGCTCTGTTCTCGTGGAAATGATTTCGGCGAGGGTGTGATCGAAAACAAGAAAGACATGTTGGTGTCTAAATTGGTGGGCATGAAAATTCTGCAGCCCGGCACCTCATTGATCATCAACATGTATGCTAAGAAGATAAAAAAAGAACATGAGATGATATTGATTGATATTGGACATATGAGGAATCCATGCGCTGATAAGGATGATGAGTGCCAGGGGCGCAGTTGAAACATTTGACATTGCAGCCCCATCGATTCAGACAGAAACTGGACTGGCTTCAGCGTATCCCTGGGAAGGCCTGAGCCTGCACAATCCATATTCAAACCAAAGCGCTCAACATCGCTAGACAGAACGCAGTTCACCATCCTTTGCTGATCAACATGCTCTTGACTGTAGACATGCTGCCCAGCCTGATCCCTGACTGCAGACATCGAGGAACTTCGGAATACATCCTGATATTTTGACAGTTCCTCTCTGATCCAAAAGCATCCCTATGTCATTGTACACCTTGTGCCAGGACTTCACAGTCGACAAGCGCAGCGAATCTCTCTTCCTATCCCTGTTCCTATCTCTCTTTGTTGAGGCTGCATATCTATTCAATATCTATTTATGTGTTTATCTCTCTTTTTACTTGTATTCGATCTTACTTACAGTATTTTATCTGCGTATGTTATATTATATTTCTTTTTGAACTCGCTTGACATCTTTTTTAAAATACTTCAGAAACTTACACCCAGCGCGAGCCCTGCCTGCGGCAGGGTCTGGTTGCGCACTCCGCCAAAACGCCGTCGGTTGCCGGCTGCCCCAGGCGTTCTCCTCAACATCAGGAAGCACACGAAGTCACCATGAAAAAAAACGTGTATATATATATATAAATAATCGCAAGAAAACCGTGCTATTTTGTGCTACCAAGCCAAAAGTCCAGTTGCCTGAGTCATCAGACTTGAACGGGCCAAATCCCACGGTTCCATTTTTTGAGGAATAAGATGTGCCAGGACTATCCCGCTAGTCTGCCCTGTGCAATTGTCTGCGCACCTAAGCATGTATGGACCTTAGTGAGTGTCAATGTTGCTGAAGGTTGCATCCCAATCAATCAATCAATATATATATATAATGGTTGCGAGCAAGATGCCGAACTACAAACTGTCCCACGGCGAGAGAGGCAGAAGGATCTGACTGCCCGTTCAGGCTGCCAAAATTCTTAGGACCTTTCAGCACTTCGAGTTTGGCAAAGTACATTGAGCATCATTGAGCATCCATCTCCAATCAAGCTTGCGATTGCTCATTCCGAACCGTTCTGTGATATCATGCATGCCACAACTATTGACAATCTGGCCTTCTTCTCTGGACTCAGCATTAAAGTTGTCATCATTGGTAAGCGGCGGGAAAAGAATCTCCTCAGGATCATGGAGAAACAACATGCACCATCTCTCCATTGCCTTGATCTGTACTGCAACCCAATGTAATTTAGGGACTGTGCATGCATGATGCATCCAGAAGAATCTTCAAAGTCGTGTGACATGCTGCTTTCACACGTTTGGTCATTTGTCGGGCTGGATAAGGTTAATATAAGTTTATACATAGTCATAGTCATAGTGAATATTTCTAAGAAATGGCAAAGCGGATGCCAGGAAAAGGAAGCGGGTGCAGACATCCTGACGGCTTGAACATTTGCTATCCCAACAAACTGCAACACACACCAAACAAGCCAAACAAGCCAAACAAGAAAAGACTCCAAGTTCTTCTTCAGCGCGGTCCGTTTTTCAGGATCCCGGAACCTCACGGGCGATGCGCACTTCTAGAGCTGCCACTGGGCACAGTGTGAACCGTTCACCAATCTGGGCGACTGACTGATTACATACAGAAAATTACACGAAACCATCGTCAGCACTGAAGATACCAAAGTTATCGTTTAGCCGTTGACAAACTTCAAGCAACATGGCCTGGTACGCTCAAATAAGCCATAGCTCGAGCAACAGCATGTCAAACACTACTCGACTATATAGATTTCACAGATTTCACACACGAAAACCCTATAGCCTATAATATTTATATATATATATACATATAGTGTGTGTGTGTGTCTATCTAATTCCGTATGAAATCTACATGGAAGATGCTACATGATACAGCGAAACACCTGTCGATTCATTCCATATGCCACGAGTGTCAGCGAGCATTCAGTTTCTGAAACAGCGTGAACCGCGACATACCACCACGTGGAGGTTCGGAGAACACGGAGAGAACAAACAAAACTACAAACCAAAGTGAAGAAACATGAATATACGGTACGAGCTCAACTAGAGTGCAAATATGATCAAATATGATCAAATATGATCAAATATGATCAAATATGATCAAATATGATCAAATATGATCAAATATGATCAAATATGATCAAATATGTGCATATGATGCATATTCATTCAAACAGATCCATCTGGGCAGGACTTGCCTGTAGTGTCGACTGGTCAGAAGTTCACACAGAAATCGGCCCAAGTCTTCTACGTCTTCTTCACTGTAATCCTTCGGAGACAAAACTGCAGGTCAAATTGTAGCTGAGTGCAGTGTCGAGCACTTCCATTTCACCATGCTGGAAATTGTCTTGAAAGATTGGTGAAATGTAAGGAACTTTCAAAAAATTAAAAATAATGAAAGCTTGAACGAAGAATAACAAAGACCAACATGTCAAGACTTGTCAGGGCATAAAGCCCTGAAGCCGCATCAGTCAGTGGATGTGACTGGCACACGTGATTCATGTAATTTCATGCAAGCTTCCTCGATGGCCCAAGGAGCAGGTGACGGGATGGGAACAAAAGGAGTGTCCTCAGCTGAGCAGTCTCAGATAGTCTCAGCCTGTCTCAGCTGGATCAAAATGGACGAAGCGATTGAGAGTTGACTTGCCCTTCTGCGTTTGCATTCTACCTGTTCTACCTCTAGAGTACAAGATCGAAGCTGCTCCGAACACACCAATGATCACCAATGGATCAAAATGGCCGGCACGGGCTCTTGCATCTAGGGCCGTCCAAAACAGAGATATTGCCCTGCAACGCAATGCCATACGTGTATCACCGAAATGCAGCCAAACCACAATGGCTCTCTTTCCTTCAGATGCGTGCAGGAGGGGCAGAATAGGCGTCATGCTGAGGTAAGTTTGTACAAGATTGTACAAGCACCTATCCCAGCCCTTATTTGTCCGTCAAAGCATCCATTTTTGCAGAATGCTTATCGTCCTTGAAGTATCCTACAGTTACCACTGCTGAATGCTTTCGAAAACGGACAATATCATGTGGTCCAAGCCAAGGATGCTGCATGAAGCTCTTCGATAAATATTCGGACACTTCATATATATATATATATTTTATAGATCATAAGTATAAAATATATTTTATATCTATTACAGTAATATATATATAATTATGTATATATATATAAATATATGATTCAATATGATTATGTGTGTGTGTGGGTTATTGCCTTGCTGAAATATATTGAGATCCTGTATCAAAGGACATTTAGGACGTCGTGCTGGCCATCACTGGGCAAAATCTGCAACAGCACATTTGCCACCCAGTTTCTGAAAGACTGCCCCAAGCTCATAAGCACGAGACCACCAATCATGGCAGCAGCGGCAGCGCATGCGTAAGGATATCGAGGATCTATGCTAAACCTCAATCATGCAGCACTAAGTGCGTTGATGCCTGGCTGACAAGGATTTGCTCAGGAAGACCCAGGATGACAGCCGATAATTCCTCATGTCAGAATGACGAGTCTGAGCAGATATCAGCTACCCGTCCACCAAACAACCAAGCCCGCTACAATGTGCTCAGAATCATAGGTCCAAATACTCGGCCCAAAGCTTGCGCCATCTGCTGCATTGACATCACCTCAAAGCACGTTGCATTGCCTCAAGAATGCTTCCTAAACTTCCAAAAGCTTGCCACACTGACACCACTTGCGAAGCCCAAGAAAACATCAAACTCATCATGAATCGCATGCGGGAGCCATCTTTCGGTCATAAGCCCAGTGGAGCTCAGTTGCGCATCCTCTATTCTCGTCGGTAGCCAGCACAGAAGTTATGGTTGCCTCAGAAAATCAACTGTGTCAGGCGTGGCTCAAATATTGCGGCAAGTGTGTCCTAGATTGAGGTGTGGTCTGCAAATTCTCTTGGTCAGACACAACACTCCAATCTTGACACATCAGCAATATTTGGAGCAATTGGGGCTTATACTGTTGTGCTACCACCCTCATGGGGGGTGCTATCTATCCAATGCTATCCATGCCATCATATCTTGCTACTAGCTGTATTAAGAAGATCAAGCAGTCCTTTCGTATTCACTGTACATTTTTTGGGCTGTCTATGGGATTTCTGAAGGGATCAAATCCGTGATAAAGACATCAGCCCTGTGGTGATTCAACAAACATGAGATTCCAAGTTGCAATCGTACAGCCCGCCACTGCTTGGCCAACATAAACGATGCACCTCGGACAACGGTATCTCCACAATGCCACTGGAGTTACTAGCCACACTAGCCACTAGCCGTTGCTGGCCCACTGGAATTATCCGATTTCACGCAAAGGCCTCGTTTGAGATCGTTGCGTTTGTACTCACGCCGTTTTGCAAAACCATGTGCTATAGAATCTTGGCCCAGGAATGGGCACAAAATGGCACAAACACATTCAAGATCCTCCCTGCTCGCAAGGGTTCGGAGTGAGAGCAACACCTCTGTTCAGACAAACCCCAGCACAAATTCCAAACTAAAGAATGCAGTGTCGTGGGTGTTCATTTATAGAAACAGTCACAAAACGCATAGAATCATAGGCCAGCTATTCTTCATTCATTCACAGCTTATCGTCTGTTACTACTAATTTGCTGATGCGTCTGGATCTATTTATTTTTGCATTTACATCTATCACCTCTCACTAATTTCCACAGCTGGGGTACTGTGTGGCTATGTATGTTGAACATTGTGGAACAATGTTGTGTAAAATGTAATCGCGGCACAACGACCACACTGCAAGTGATGACAAAGGAACCCCCAAAATGGATCAAAATGGCTAATAAGGCTAATAAGTGCTACCTGTAATAATGTAATATAATGTATGCTTGTGTTTGTTTCTGATTGGGGCGTTGCTGCCATTTGCGCAGAATGTTGGAGATGTCTGTTGAGCATCTCACTCTGTTTGCCCTAGGCCCTAGCTGTTCTTAGGCCAGGCTTTTGCAGTTCCTGTTGATTTGAACATGACCCAGGCGCATTCCAAAGAGTGAGAGCTTCAGTACAGGAGAGTAGGCCAAAATCACCTTGCTGCGTCTGCTGCGTACACAATTTTGAGGCAAGACTGCGTATGCAGCACTCAGCATCCTGAGCATACTGAAAAATACTGATTCATAATTACGATCTGACACCAATTTACGACATCGCCCTGTTGCTGACTGCGAATTTCACGCCTCTCCAAAGGCAATCAGCATCATGCCAAGAGTTGCGCAGCCGACGTGACCGAGGTAGGTGTCCAAATGAGGGCAAATCCAAATGTTTGTCCCGATCAAGCACCTCAACCACAAAAGCATGTTGCACGAAGGCTGGTTTGCGGTTCAAAATCACACCAAGAAATGATGAGAAGAAAAAATAGGAAAAAAAACACTTGGCCATGGAGCAAAGCTCCACTGCAAACTGCGAAGCCAATGGAGACGGAGTCAAGGTCAAATACTCTGTTGGCAAAAAGCCTCGGCTGGGGAGCTTGAGGTGTGTGCTTGCCGCTGAGGGCTATCAACACTACAATGAACTAAGAGTAAAACCATCTAACACCTGCACACTGTACACATGGCAAAGGAAGCTCATCTTTCTATCCCTTTTTCATGAAATCAGCAATCCTACCTGGCACACTGCAAAGCTGCTGAGAAACGCAAAGATTGCAAAGATTGCAGAAAAGGAGACACCGCGAAGAAACTCCGCTGCGCATACAAACCACACACTGAGGGAAAATGTCCTGAGCTATCTCAAAGGCTGACAGTCTTTAAGACCTTTTCAACGGCACACGTGTCGAGCAAATGGCGTTGTGGAAACATCGTGATTGAAACAAAACCGCAAGCCTTTCCGCCAACCTCGAAATACCTCCGAGAACATGTGCTCAATTCTCATCCATTCTCTCAGCTGTACGGCTGTTCAAGCGACTGGAAGAGTCTGCAAGAAGTTTGCTGCTGTGCAGCGGCCAGTTTTGCATGTGCCTTCTGAATGCTTGCCCACGCTGGGCTTTCTGGAAGATAAACCTCGCTAAGGCTTAGCTTGCGAGATCCAAAATCGCTCACAAGTCTTGCAACATTGCTACTATATCTATATACATGCACTAAATATAATTGTGTATGTATGCGTATATATATATATATATGTGTGTGTGTGTGCGTGTGTGTTTGTTTATATATATATATGTGTGTGTGTGTGCGTGTGTTTCTTTATATACATAGAGTATTATATAGTGTATCTAGATTTGGGTTAGGTCAGTCAATTCAGGTTCCCACAAGAGCAAATATTGTATATTATATATATATATACGATTCTGAATTGGAAACGGGATCGTCAAATGCCCAACTTTTACCACGGCAGCGCGGTATGACTCAAGGGCCCTAAAGCCAAATGTCAACGGGGCATGTGATCACTTGGCTATACAAAATATACATTAGACAGTCAAACTCACACTCAACCTGTTCTTCAAGGATCACATGATGCTAGTGAAAAAGTTGGCTCTAAGGCTTCTTCTGTACACGATAAATGCACTCCTTCAAAACGCGGATGATGAGGTCCGGGCGCATGCTCTTGGTCAGAGCATCCGAGACCATAGTCCCTGTAGCAATCCAGGTAACAATGTCTCCTCCGCCATGATGCATATCCCAGGTCCTCCGGCCGTCTTGCCAAAGTGACTCATGAATCGACTGCAACTCAATGCCGAGTCGTTTGTCTGCGACCCTGCCGAGTACCTCATTCGCAAGATGATCTGTTAAAGACCTGCAGTCTGAAAGCATCAGTTGTGGAATACAGCTGCGGCTGTCATCCAACCATGTTTTCATCGAGTCAAGTTGGCCCATCAGTTCGGCCAATGCTCCACGTAGCTTGTCACCGCTCTCTTGTCCAGCCTGCAGTGAATAAGCTTCGCATTGAAGAGTGCTGCGGCATACTCGCAGAATTGTATTTGATGCAAATCCCAATGGCATCACCCTGTAGGATGTAGTCTTGGGGTCTTTGATCTCATTGATGTCTCCAAAAAAATGGAAACGTCCTTGTTGTGATTTGTAGTTCTTCTCGTTTGAAAATGAAGCATCTGTTACTGTAATGATACCAACCTTTCCCCAGGTTAGATGTCCACCTGGAAAAATGAGCTTGTTCTCAATGCCTTGTTGTGCCAGCTGTACTACGGCATTTGCGTCGTGCAAAATAGCAACTGTCGCTCCAGAAATACTGGACTGTAGGCGGCTCACACGATAACCCAAATCGGGTCTAGTCTGCCTTGCCACCCATGCCAATGATCCCGTTACAGATCGTAATCGGGTCACATCATCCTTACCCAACGGCTCGGACGCTGATCTTCCTGGCGCGATCTTGATCGGCTTGATGCGACGGGTGTTGTCACAAGTGTCTTGTGTGATTGTTCCATCTGCAGTACGCTCAAATTGCTTGCCACAATAGCGAAACGAATTTGATTCACTAGATCCCAAGTTGAACTTCTCCAAGAAGCTGTCGATCACTGACTTTCCCTCAGGAATGTATGCGTACAAGATGTCATCCACATGTGTCGCCATAAGTGCAACGCAATCTTTGTCGGTTCCTGGAAGGAAATACAATCCTGGGTAAAACTTGGATTGTTTCAAGCCGCTGGATCGGGCATCTCCGTCCAACCTCAACCAAAAACCTCGACCGCTGTCAGTCAATCCATATATAGGCACCCGCACAAGGAAAAACACCTCTGGATCAACTCCCGGGAGACCTCCTCGGGGTTGTCTCATAATGAGAACTCTATCAAGAGGACGACCTTGGAAATATGCGGATGCGACGTCCGCACTGTGCAATTGTGCACCCTGGATCGCCGCCCAACAGCAAAGAATGTTGTGAGCTTCCGTATCTGCTGTAGGACTGTCTGATCTCAAACCTTCACTGACTTCGAAATTGCCGCATGATACCAACCGGCTCTTGAACTTTGGCACATATCCTTGATCTGATCTTCCTTTCATGAACTGATTCTTGTCAACATCAACCCACTTGCTAGGAATACATTGATGTCCTTCTGCAATCAGCCCCTCAGCATCTTCTTTTGAGATTTCAACAACAGCAGCGAACTCAAGGAACTTGCTCCACTCCTTGGTTCTGGCATCCATGATGTTCTTCTGTACGTCAGGTGAAGCTGATTCATAGTGGATTGATTTCAACACTTTCTTACCTTGCTCTTCGTCCTCAGGGACTTCAACTTCCTGGGACAAAAATGATGCAAACAATGCTCGTGCTTCTTGTTGTTCTTCAGGACTCCGTTCTGAGTCTCTCTCTCGAGCTCTTTCAAGATGTGTTCGCAATTGATGTGGTAAGTCATTCAAAAGTTCCCTTCGCAATGGCCAAGATGACGCTGACGGCGAGGATAGTGGTCCCAAAACGGAGCCACTTGGAGTAAGATCAGGCACAAAGGAGTCTCTTCGAGATGGCACAAGTGATGAGCCTCTCTCCGACTCAGGTTGTAACTGAGACTCTACTCGAGGTCTCACGTTGCGTTCATGACCTCCATCTCCTGGATGTGGTCTTTCAACTCTTCTCTCTGGGGTTCTACTCTGTGAGAAGATGTCTTCTTCCATTGGACCTGTATCTTCCTCCTCCTCATCTTCTTCAAAGAAACCGGGCCGTATATCCCATTCCTCTTCAGATACTTCTGGTATAGGAGGAAGTGCTGAATCCACATTGCCTTCATGGACAACCTCAACATCATCTGCTTGTCCTGGACCATCACGAACAACTTCAACCTCATCTGTCTTGCATCAAGAAACGCTTGTTGACCTGTATCATTGATGATCTTGTATGGAATCACAGGTTCACCATTCAACACTGATTGAGCAAGAGCTTCAGAAGGAGAAGCAATGCGTATGTTGTGAGAAGCTACAAGTACTGGAACGTTACCACATAGTAACCATATGTTCTTCTGGTTCTCGTGTCCGATCACACGGCATGTTGGTGACCAGGACGTTCCTCCTCGTTGATTGTCTCGTCTGAAAGTGACGAGATCACCAATGTTGAACTCACGGTCAAACACACTGGCATTGCGTGTCAACGCTCGTTGAACTCTTCTTGAACAATCAAGATGAACAAAAGCCTTTTGTGCCTCAATCCTGGCCAAATGTTGTAATGCAAAAATTGATGAAGGATCATGTCGGGCCTGAATGGCTCCGAGCTGTGCATGGTCTTCCTCAGACATGAGTGAAGCTACACCACGTGGAGCTCGACCGAGCACCCACTGAGATGGAGAAAATCCTCCAACACGTGCAGAGTCGTTCTTCACACTGAGCACTTGTGTGATGCACGACTCAACCTGTTCTTTGGTACAAGCCCCAACTTCTGTACACACTCGCCTGAAAAGAGCTTTCAACAAACCACCATGCCTCTCTACTCGGCCCAATGATTCCGGGCTCTCAAGGGGCACATGGTGCACTTGAATGTTGTGTTCATCCATGTACTGTTGCAAGACACCACGATTGTGCAATCCACGGTCACACATGATAGCAACAGGATGTCCTGCCCAACTGAACCAACGTTTGATGAGTGCGTCCAAACAGGATCGCGAAGAAGCTTGACCTGCTCCAACCTTCACGACTTCAGCCTGTTGAAAACAAGTACCAATGCAAACCATGTTGAGAACTTGATACTTCTGCCCAGTTACATCTGTCAACTCCAGTACATCAATCCCCAAAGTATGGTTGAATGTATAATCACTTGGAAGCGTGACTTTGTGAGTGGGTTTCTTTGCTGATGTTTTCTCACATGTTTCACATCTATGCAACTTTACTGCATCAACAAACTCCTTGCTCACCTTTGCAGCACGCACCAAATTGACCATCACCGACTTGGGGACATGTCCAAAAGCCCTGTGCAACCTACGCACAGCAATCCTGACACGCTGAGGAAGTTTACGCCAAGACCTACGTCTTTCTGTTTCATCCTCTGGCAAACCAGGGATATCAACCTCATCCAAAAGAGTCTCTTCATGTGTCAGGTCCTCAACCGGATCCTGCAATGCAACATCTTCTGGGCCATCGACTGCATCCCAGTTCCCACCATGTTCCTGAGCCTCTTCGATGATCTCTGCTGGAAAGGCAACGCTCATCTGCTCCTCCAATTCACGTTCAAGTGACCAATCACGAATCCATTGACAAAACTCCCAATTCAAAACGTCATCCAATTGTCGATACATAGACCAGTCTTGAAAACCTTGAATGAGTTCATCATCATTTGACACAAAAGCAAGACCAACTTCATTGATGTATGGAATCTGTGGTGTTTTGAATGATTCCCATCGTTCAGTGTGTGCGACATCAACAATGAGAAACCTACACCCTGTGGCATCACAATACTGCTCCAACTCAAACACAAGATCCCCATGACATAGTGGATAATGTTCTGACTTGTATTCAATTGCAACAATGACCAATGTGCAACCTTCGAACATGTCTTTCCAACCATGTTGCTCAGCATCACCGTCCAAGTACGCGGCATTCATGCCAACGTCATAGGTGTGCTCGAAAAAATCCTGGAAAAGAGTCGGATGTGACGTGATGATTGCAACCCCTGATGTCCCATTGGAAACTTGAGGCTGCATCCCAAGACTGGACTGCATTACACGGTCATGGTTGTTGAGATTGTTGATACCTTCCAACACCATCTTCCTGTGTTTCTTGCTCATGGTCCTCCTCTCATCAGGATGGACTGTCAAATCAACGTTGGGATCAAAACGCACAGCCATGAAACCAGTGGGAGAATACTCATAGTCATATTCATATGAATCGGAATCATCTTGTTCCAACTTGGGCGTCAAGACCTTTGGCTGGGGCTTCGACTTCACTGCATACATTCTTTTGGGTTCTGAGGATTTCATCTCAACTTTTGGATTCAAAGACTTCGCAAAATCATCCCTTATATCCCGTATTTTCTTGTTGGGGGTCAACCTGACACGAACGCTCATGTATGCTCCCCTCCCGGAGTCATCGAACACCCCAGGTGGGTGGTGAAACACAATCACATCGAT